AAAAAAAAAAAAAAAATATATATATATATTTATAAATAAAAAAATTAAAAAAGTACTACGACGTTTCTACGCTTGATCCCATAAGGAATCTGTGAGATCTATGCAGCTGTTTGACCCTCTCATTGATCCAAAAAACATCTGGATGGACGTAAAGGCCTAAATAAATGTAACTAAATGCTTAAATAAACGTCTCCAAATGATGTCATGGTGAGGATGCGCCCAAAACATTCTTCTCTTTTCCATTATCTTGGCCGTCTTGACCCTTAAGGACCGGGGGAGCACATGGCTCCCACACACACACACACACACACACACACACACACACACACAGATGGAGGTGTGAACACACCATGTGGTTGTGGCTGTCGTCCTGCCTGTGCTCTCCTTCCTCCTCCTCCTCCTCTTCTTCCTCCTCTTCCTCGTCCACTTCGCTGTCCCGTCTCCGGTCGTCCTCGTCCTCCAGCTCCGAACTGGACCCCTCCCCTTCCTGCCACGCCTCCTCGCTCTGACACTCCTCGGCCTTAATCACATCTGCGTCCAGACACAAAAAGACGCACAACCGTAAAAAAAGTGACACAAAGAAACCAGAACTCCTCCATCTCTTACAGAAAAGAACACAGAAACACTCTATTTCAGTGTAATTATGCTCTTAAAACCAACATTCATTCCACATCAGGAGTAAAATGGGCACAAAAATTGAATTAAAATAGGATTAGAGCATGTTATTTCCAAAAAAATTGTATTAGGGAGTGTGTAATGCTTCCATCATCCCTGTTCATATAGGATATAAGAACAAATTCCACTCAGAAATCCCTCACTTTATCCAAAACTTGTCTTTATGGTTCAGGCAAAGTCTCTTTCAGTTCAGTGAAGGCTTTAGAATAAAGTAGGTAAATAAATAAGCTTAGTAAATTCATATTTTAGGTCCTTACATTTATGAAATTAGTTGAAATGTTCGATAACATATCGAATAATTGTGAGATTAAAACAAAAATAAACTAGAGAAACATTCAGGTTTTGATCATCTTTTGTACTTTTATCTATTATCTAAGAGTTGCAAAAGAGTGCCGGGAAAAGTTGTCATCAATTGCACGAAGTCCAGGATGAGGATATGATTTCAAATGGCTCTGTTATTTGTGCAAATTTCACTTTTAAACATGCAGCCGCTGGCTTTGTGGAAATTTGGGGCTCCAGCTCTGATCGGGAGGGAAAGTATCTGGCGCCACCTATGTGCAAACACACACTCTGACCTCCTCCGATTCATATTATTCACACACAGACACACTTCAGCCACTGTCCTCCTCCTGAAACAGCATTCTCTTTTTAATAAATCTGTTCATTAAAGCCTTCCTTCACCTCCAAAAACATATTAGAGTAAGATATGCTTTAAGCTTTGCTTCCATAGCAACTAAACTTTATGCAAAACCAAAGAAACAGAAGTAATTATTCTTACATGAATATCTAAAGAGAAACGTGTGAGAGACATATATACTTAGAGCGTTTATATTGATAAATATAGATAAATTGAAATAACAAAATATATGAACATATGGGTTAATCTGACGGGATTTGGCCTTAAAATTTATCCTAAAAAAATTATGATAATTCTATCGGATAGACGTAGAAGGTGCATAAACGTTATGAAAATGTACAAATATACAAATTATAAAAATGAATTAAATTAATCATACAATTTAATTCAATTAACCCCAAGAATAAATCATTTAAGGGCAAACATATTCTAAATATTAAAGACATTTCTATTTCTTCCCAAATATCACCTTTAAATAAACTATTTTATGTATAAAAATGTTCCATTAAAATAGCTAATTAAGTATCAAATACTGTATTAACCCTTTAAAGCCCGATTCAAGAAAAATAGGAAGAATATTGGATTTTTTTAGTCTGAAGTCTTTCTTTGGCCCCTCAACAACATATGAAGAAAAAAAAAACAGAAATTATTTTGATCAAATTGGCGTGCAAATAGTCAAAAATCAATTTTGGTGTAGTCTTCTACTGGCTGTTATCAGGTATATTTGAATGTGTACAACAGGGGTTTGAGCAAAGCTTTTACCACTGAATGATGCAAAAAGTCTCAGATCCAAAAGACTTCAGAAACAGTATGAATCAAATATGACACATTTGGCATTATACTATATTTAAATATAGAATATTAAAACATGTTCTGTGCTTCAGCTAAAAAAAAAAGCTCCATACACATCGTGAAAGTTAAAAACTGCCACCAGTGAGCAGAGAGCAGGCGTCTTTTTGTGTTTAAACAGGAACAGAAAGGTTAAGGAATGAGCGTTGCGTTGCCATGGTTACGCCGGGGCCTGGGTGTGTGTGTGGGCCACCTGTGCTGGGGATGCGCGGGTCCTCTGTGATCTGCTCCAGTCTGCAGAGCAGCGCCTCGATGTTGGTCTTAATCTGGGTCAACTCGGACTTGATGGCCTGGAGTTCGGTGCCTCTTACTGCTGAGAGACAGAGAAAAAGTCTTTCTTCTGACCAAGAAACCCGAAAAAACCCAGGAAGAGATTCACTCATTCCACCAACCAGAACAAAGCTCAAATCAAAATTCACTCTGGGATCTTTTCCACTCGCTGTATTTTGAATATCATTTTTTTAAGTATATATTGAAATCTCTCTGTAATTTAAGAGTCATCTTCACCTGCAAAAAGCATATTTTCTTTGAGGACTGATTTATTTTTGGGATTGTTTCAATGCATATGAATTTCCTACATTACCCCAAGGCGGCCTGAAGTGTGCCACTTTACTTTTTAAAAAATACCAGTTTCCTTATTGTTAATATCCCCCATTCCACTTCATCTACAATTTTGAAATCACCTGAAAACAACAAATACAACTCACAAATACAAGAAATGAGTGATAATTGTACACCCCTGCTCATTCATTTTTTAGTCAATTTAGTACTTGCTGATTCAGACTGAGTCTTTATGTGCGTTATTATGAAAAATGTCCATTAAAAACTCCAGTTCCAGTTTTAGTGAGACACTACAAGATAATCTAATGAAAAAATTACGATCATCCAACCCAAAACAATAAATAAAAACATGCATAAAACCAACAAAATTTCAAAGTTTCCCTATTTCTCTACTTTAACTGTCAACAACATTTGATTTTCAATTATTCTTGTTAAAAAAATTTTACTCAGAGCTTGTCTTATATCACCTGAAATATTAATAAAAGTAAAATAAAATAAACAAAATTTCAATCCTTTGTATGACCAACGCATGTAAAGAAATTGACAATAAAGCCTACTTGACTTGAAGAAAAAAAAATTGTTATAAACAATACAGGACTGATTACAATCACAACAACTGAGAAAAGGACAGAATCTAGACTGGCTATGAGCACCGGGATGAGCTGACCGATGTGAAATGGACAGAGGAAGTACACACACAACAAACACATTTCTGTTCACTTCTGATCCGTTCATTCTTCGTTCAACTCGCCACAACAGAAACCACCAAAAAGCTTCACCACATGTGGTCTGAGGACATATTCCAGGTGCAGACAAACAGCCTTTCTGCGGCTTTTCACGCACACAAATAAAGGAAAAGGTCCGGGACGAGAACGTCCACATGTCAGACCTTTCATACGCCGGAATTTTTTGAGGAAAATCAAGCTTGATGACACGGGAATGACAAGAAAAACATGCAAAGAAGCGTGTCCTGGGTTTCACATGGGGGTTTAAATAACTTTTCTCACTTCCTTTGTAGGTCTGTCCAATGGGGTTTGCTATGAACTCTAACCGGAAGGCGGTTTATTCTTACACACTTTCGGCGAACTGGTCTGAAAGTTTGAGCGAAAATCAGCCTAATTTCCAAAGTTCGAGGCCATTTTGTGTTTGTTTTTTCGCACTTATGTCATATCAGGATTAACGTAAAAACTTTGCTCAAAATCGTATTGTACACAATCAGATACACCTGATAACAACCAGTAGAAGACTACACAAAAAATAATCTGGACTTATCGCATAGTAATAAATTATTAATATTAAAAATGTATTTCTGTTTTTTCTTTTTAAATATTTTGTTAAAAGGCCAAATAAAGACTTCAAACCCCAACATTTTTTTTTCTGTTTTGTTTTATTCTTGGATCAGGCTTTAAAGGGTTAAACTGTTTCAAAAGTGTGTCTTTTTATGGCCTGAGGAGTGCATGAGATGTGCATATTCTTCCTTTATATTTAGTTCTCGCCTCTCTTGACCACTCTGCTTTCAGCCCTTTCCGTTTGACAGAAGGGAAGGAAAACAACACAGGAGGGAGGACGGATGAAGTGATGAGGACGCCGGTGACAGCGCAGAACATCTGGAGCCACACAACACATCTGGCGGTTGTTTTTGCGTTCCCCGCAACAAACTCGCAATTACTAACACATTTCACCCACTCTGGTAGCTGTTGCCTAATGCACTCACCCCCCCCCCCTCCTCTATACAGAGATTTATTTTAACCATTATCATCTGATCTGATTTGTTTCTTCAATGTTTTGCTGTTTTCCAAAATGCTTCCAAATCACTCCTTTGGTCTCTTATTTACTTAGTAATGCAATTTACTATGTCATATGAACCCTTTAAAGCCTTATCCAGGAAAAAATGGAGAGAACATTTATTTATTTATTTATTTATTTATTATTATTATTGTATTGTCTTTATTTGGCCCTTTAACAAAACATTATCAGCTATATTTGACTGCGTTCAACTGGGTTTTGAGATTTTATTATTAAAATTATTAAAATGATTACATTTATTAAATTTATTCAATTAATAAAATGTATTCATTTATTATCATTTTTTTTATTTTTAAATTATGCAAGAGGTCTCAGCTACAAAAAAATGTAAGAAACTGTAAGTATCAAATATAATTATGGATTTGTTAGTTTAATTGTAAGAGTCTGTCGAATATAACCAATTCTTCACATCAAGACTTACTGGAATGAAATTGAAAACTAAAAAAAAAAATTTGTTACACGTTTATACGAAAGAATATGATAAATATGAATGGATTTCTCTAGGCAAAACAGATGTGTCCTGCTATGAGTTCAACTTCTTTTCTCAACAATGAGAGCTTTTGTATTTTGTGAATTTTGACCTGGAGAAGAAACAACAGTTTGTATAAAACCACATTGGTACAACAATCAAATATAAGTAAAGATATCATCCACACACACACATATATACAGTGGGGGAAATAAGTATTTGACCCCTTGCTGATTTTTTGTCCACTTACAAAGAATGCTAGGATATATAATGTTAATCATATGTACATTCTAACAGTGAAAGACAGAATCCCAAAGAAAAATCCAGAAAATCACATCATATGAATTTATAAAAATTGATAACCATCTGATGAGGAAAAATAAGCATTCTTTGTAAGTGGGCAAACCTGCAAAATCAGCAAGGGGTCAAATACCTATTTCCCCCACTGTATATATACATATAAATAAATTTAAAAAATCTGGAATTGGGAATAACTGACCTCTCTGTTTGTTGCCGTTGGCCGTGGGCAGGACGGAGCTGTTGCGGGCGAGAAGTTTGACCGGCAGAGATTTGACCCGTCGGACCAGGGGCACGGCCAGCCGGGGGCGTTTGACCGGCACCACCCGCGGGACCGGAGACACCCTGCCCCGATACTCAAACAACCTGAGGAGAGGGGGGGGGGGGGGGGGGGGGGGGGGAAAGAAGGGGAAGAAACAGTGGAGAGGAGTTCAGGAGAAGAGGGTGGAAAAGGGAGTGTGACAAGTGGAAGTGTCAAAGGCAAATAGGTAAATAGAAAAATCTGAAATTATAAAAGCAAGAAGTGAGGACAGAGATAAAAGGAATAAGGTTGGGGTTTAATAATTGAGGAGAGGAGCAAGAGAGGGGTTAAAAGGGGGAGCTGAGAAGAATAAAATGGAAAAATATATCATTTATTTACAAAAAACATCTTAGAAAATGTACAAAAGACTGAAAAAAGTAGTTTTAAAAAAAATAGGGACTATCATATGCAGCAGCATTAAATATCCTACAATAATTTTGATAATAAAGGAAGAAATATTTATTTCCGATATATTTTCATTTTTTTATTAATTTTTTTAATCAATTTATTTCATTGTTGTTAAAGTTCATGCTACTTTGAAGTCTTGCATTGAGTATATTTTCACTAATCTAAACGCCAGGATCTTAAATTAGGGCGACTAAAGATCATTTCTGTGGAACATTATCACGTTGCTTTTCCAGATGTCATCATTTAAAGTCTTAATAAGCAGAGTTTCTCTGGGATAGGGACTTATTCCCAGATCGTTTTAGCCTAAACTGCCAAAATTTAATGGGCGCGCAGATGGGAATTAAGACAAATCAAACTTCCTGCTGGATCAGAATGAAGAAGAAGCAAAACTACAGATTACAGGAAGTCTCTTTAGCATCACTGATCGGATCTCATGTGTATCCTCTTCTTACTCACCCTCCAAATTGCATAGTGTCACTGTGTGTGTTTTGTGTGTTACTGATGTGTTGAAGATCTCCAGGCTGAGTTTCATCTCTTTAATCAAGGCCTGTGCTTTGACTCTACTCCGACATCCTGTCCCGCTGGGCTGAGGTTTGCTAGCTAACGGTAACTAGCTAACTAACGGCTAGCCGTCAGTAAGTCTGTTTTACGGCTTTTGCCATAAAAATATGTTTCTTTATTTTGTTTGTTTGTTTTTTGATAATAAAATGGACTAAATTAGACGGTATGAGGCATTTTCAAAGTGGGATGTCCTGCTTTTTGACCTGCTCACAGCTGCAGATTCATGAAACAACGGTTAGCATGGCTCCGGCTTTCCATGGCTACTGAGATTTTCCCATTAACGTTGGCAAAGACTTCAAGACAAAAGGTTGCATGCGAGGTCTGCTGCTGGACGAGCAGCATCCAGAGCTCTCTGCACTTTTTCAGCAACACATCAGCTCCAAACAGGCGTTGGTGCTCTTAAATCCAGGGCGTTTCAACAACTGTTAGCCAATAGTGACATCGAGTTTTCCCCGGTTGACACCGGTTGGAGACAACATTGACTCAAGAGTAGGCAAAGACATCCTCCTTTGTCGTGAAACAAAGAGGTTACACATCTGAAATAAGTGCTGAGCCCTTTGCTCTAAATGGCGTGGGCATGTAATTAGGATGCCCGGTGGATTGAGCTTCGCCAAACACGTAAAATTGGGGAAAAACAAGAGCTGATCGCGCTGGAATAATCATCAGTTCAATCGAGAAGCTACATTTCAACGATTTCCTTTGAGGAGGTGACAAAGGAAGAGGTAGTTTAGGGTTGTTGGATGAAGACTAGGCCTGCTTATCCCAAAGAAAAGTCCCAGCTCTCCCCCACTGGGGCAGCAATGGGCTCCTCAGAAACACTCAAGAAGGGCAAGAAGATGTGACGTTCTGGCACTGGAGCTGGCTCCACCTACCGTCTCTCTCTGGTTCAGCCTCCACACTCCGCAATCAACCGTATTGGAATCACCTGTCACCAACTACTCTTAAGCTCCGTTCCAACCAGCCTCCAGTGCCAGAACGTCTCAAGCCAATTGGTAAGAACTTCCAGCGATTCATAGTTATTCTTCCTCCCTGATCCCGACCTGTTTGCCTTCGATTCCTGAGTTTGCCTGATCCCTGTCTGACCTGTCTGCCCGCCTGAGTTCTGCTTGGCCAGTCTCTGGATCCAGCCTGCCTGCCCGTGTACCGACCCCGCCTGCCCGTGACTCCGAGTTCCTGCCTGCCCCTCTGGATTGATTCCCTGGCTCTGACCCTCGACCGAACCTGGACCACGGTTTGGATTTTCCCTGGTACTGTCGCTGGATTCTGATTACCTGTTGCCAAACCTGGAAATCCCTGACCACGCCCCCGGATTGCCCCACGTTCCTGTAATAAACTCTGTTAACTGACCGTACCGTCTCTGGGTGTCTTTGGGTCCAAAACAGTTCGTTACGGAAGAGCCTGAATCTGAGGTGAATCCAGCCCCACACTCTCCCAGATACCAGTCTGAGACGAGACCCGATGGGCACCTGCTGCCTCCCGTCTTCATTTACAGCCAAATCCTTCATAGGACTGAAGCCACTTTGCTTTAAACTGGGATCTTTATGTCTTGAATTTAGTCTTACTGGCCTTAAGTTGTATTTCTGCCTGGTTTCCATACAGTTTCCATTCAGCCACATGCGAAGCTGGACATTTCCAAACTCAGGGCTTGTGTGTGAGGAAACATTCAAATGAAGGTAATCCCAGGAGTCGTGGGACGTCAAACCCATTCCACATATATTCCTACATTTCTTTGTGTTGAGGTCTGCTCAATTACAGTCATATTTCTTGAGTTATCACCAGGACACAGTACAAAGACGACTCCACTGAAATGATGATCCACCGGAAAAAAAACAGAACGTTAACCAAAACCAAGAGCTTTCGACTTCAAGATCGATTATTCCGCAGAGACCGCAGATTCTATTCAAATGGAAAATGACATATTTGAAGAATCTGTCGACTCCTCTGGGGACGGAGGAATATTCAACGTAAACCGGTTTAAATCTAATTGTGGCATAGCAAGACGCACGCGTGTGCAGTTCTAATGGTTAAACTCCATTTCTGTGACTCTGGCGAGACCCGTGGCGTGAAAAACAAGCTGTCATTAACTCCCCCGGCCAGTTGCCACCGGACCTGTTGCGAGTTTTATCCACATTTGGGGGTCAAAGTTGAGCACTCGATGAAAGGCCCACGGGGAAAAAAAAAAAAATCAAAGTGGTCTGTTCTCGTTTGCCAGGCTGAAGTCACGCCATCCCTTTGGAAACAGTAATGTGTGCAATGTCACACTCGTGGTTTTGGAGTCAAAGCAGAGAAAGTTGCTGGGATGCCTGAGCGGAGACGGGGGGGGGGTGTCCAAAGCAGCATCAGCCATGTGTTCAACAGTCTTGTTACTTGTTGTGGGAGCCATCTTGCACTTTTACTTTGAGTAGTGGTAATTCTGTTGATTTGTTTGTTTATTATGAATTTGTTTACATTAGTGATAGTTTCATATTTTGGTAATATTCTTTTTGTAATTCGTCTAGTTAATTGTTTTTATTTATGTTTAGTCTTTATTTGGTAAATTTATTCATTGTAGTATTTGGTTATAGACACCTGGGGGATTGTGGTGCGCACAGGTAAGGGTGGATATAGGTAGGAAGTGGCACACACCTGTATGCACCTGGGTAGTGGGCACATGTTTTTTTTTTACCAGCGCAAGACATTTGTTTGTTCACCTGAAACAGCAATAAATCAGCCTCAAGGACAATTCTGCGAGGAATCATTTTCTTGCCTGCATACGATACCTGCCCAGGGTGCCAGAAGTTGTCGTTTGTTTTATTTTAGGGTTAATTTTCGTTAAAAGTTTGTTTGACAAACGGCTACTACACTTGTGTTGACGTGTTTGTGTATTTAGCAGATGCTTTTAGAGACTTACAAAGTAGAATATATACATGTGCGTCTTCCCGTCTGGGAATTGAACCCCCGTCTCCCGGTTGACCGCTACGCTAACAGGAATAACTGGAGCGGTGGCCCATGATGCATTCTGTCTGTGAGGTTGAGAGGAAACACAAGTGGCCCTTCTCCAGTCCCGGGGCTGCTCAGCATCAGAACAGACGAGGCTCGAATGCGTTTCCACAGGAGCCAAAGGAAGCTTTGAGAGGCTTTTTCATGGATGGTATTTTCATCTTTTTTCTGCTCACCTAGTTCTTTACACTTCCCTTATTGACTTTTATTTATTCTGCTTTTCACATCTTCTACAACTAAAGTTCCCCTCTAATTAACGTGTCTTTGCTATTTCTGAGTCGCTGGTGGTTTTTTGTCCCAAATAATACGTTTTTCGGCAAAGTTAACCGATTTACTGCGTTATGTGAAAAACTCTCCTTCTTGCTGTTTATTTGCCATCCGTAACCATCCGTTACCCATCTTCAGACGAGGCCTTTTAACAGTAAAAGGAATCCTGATTAAAAAATCTTGTGCGTTGCCTCAGACTGGATGAGAATCCTGTCCAGAATAAACCCAAAGTGCCAACTTTTTTTTTTTTTTGCCAACTTGAGCTGTAAAACAGAGCAGCCTATTGTCAAAAATGTACTTTCCACATTCTTGCCCGGGTCAAATTTGTTTTTCTTTCGGCGTTCCCATTTTGCAACGACAGGCCAATAAACCATCTCAAAACAAAATTTACTCCCTTGTTATTGCTGGATCGACACGGGTTTTTAACCAGCGGAGGTTCTCAACCTTCTGCTGATGGCTGACAAACACACGAGCCAAAAAAGATAATGTGTTTACACCCCGAGTACAGCTTTGCTGGCTCCATTTGCTCCATTCTTTCCTCTCACCTGTCATAGAAGTCTTCTCTGTAGTAATCGTAGTCGAACTCGTAGCCACTGGGGAAAAAAAAGCACAACAGAACACGGTGACTTCACACCAGAAGGAAAACGTTTAAAATCTCCCAAGAGGAAAAAACAACAGAAAAGAAAAAGACGTTTAGGCTTTCTGTCCAACCCGCAAACAAAGAAAATGAAAAATCATAGGAGAAGTCATAATTATGAAACTGCGTGGGAGAGACAAAGAAACCACAACTATCTTAATATCGCCCCGAGAGACGGGAAGGGAGAAGAGCGGAGCACAAACAGAACAGGGAACGCCGAGATGATAAACGCTGAGCGTACCGGTAACCGACACACGGATAAAGAACACGGTTATCACGCCTGGACTCTCAGCAGGGGATAAACAACTGAGAAAACAAGGGTAAAACGACAGTCTGTGAAAAAAATAAAAACACACAGGTCAAAACATGAGACGTGCATCATAAAAAAGGGGAAAAATCCCTTTACTTAACACACTTAAACCTCACATTTTAGTAGAATAAGCCGTTCAGCCGGTCTGATGTGACTGAAGTGGGTTTTATTTAATCTCTACACAGATATCGGGATTATTAATAGCAAAAAAAGTCACCTATCGGTCATTATTCTTAACGTTTCGTTCTCTGTCTTCTCACTTGTCAAAGAAGAACTTGTCGAACTGTCATTTGACCAGATTTACTAATTGTTCGAGAATAGCATAAAGCATGTTTTACGTTTTTGAGAAGAAAGAAAAAAAGCATTTTAAGCATTTTTAGCTGTGTATGTCTTTCATTTGAGTCAATCTTTTGTTTTTTAAAGGAAACTTATCAAACTAGTTGGACCTTTGCACACCTTTAATGCAAAAAGATCCATAAAATGTTGATTCTTTTCTTAAGTTGGAAAGCATTCACATCAAAACTAGAGCCGGCTAATGAATTACAGCTCTTTAAGGCAGACAACCGATTCAAAAGCCGTTTTAGTAGATAGGTAAATTCCTTCTGAGTTTCCTCAAAAACCGGGATGGTCATTTAAACCAATAGCACGCGCTCTGCGTCGGTGAAATAGGAAATCACAAAGCTGCAGGAAACAGAACAAAATCGACAAGCAAGAACATTCAAAAGGGATGAAACCAGGAGTTTGGTGGATTGTGCGATTAGAAAAGGACAAAACGATGAGCTCGGCAAAACAGAAGCGATTCCACGATCTGTTCCAGCCTTTGCAGCAGGATGCATTTCACTGGTCGTCTTAGCCATAACAAAGAGACTCTACTAGAGCAAATACAGAGTTTGAAACACTGTAGATGGTGAAAAATAGCACTTTTCAAAGCGGGAACTTAAAGCATAAAAGCAGATGTGGAAGTGGCCTTTGGGCGAATCGAACTGAGAAGAAAAATGCAACCGAACAAGAGGAAGAAATCACAAAAGTCTTCTATAAAGGACGAGTCTCAGCTGTGTCTCAGCTGGCCAGGACAAAACGAAAGAGCGTAAACATCCACAGCTGGACACATCTGCACTAAAGGCCTGAAAAAGCAGAGGCACTGAGGGACTCAAAGAGCTGAAAGAGCTATAGTTCCTCTTTTATGTACATGGATACAACTAGGGTTGTCAAAAGTATCGATACTCAAAAAAGTATCGATACTAAAATGTTGTATCCGGATACAATACTCATTTTCAAAAGTATCGATACCACTGCCCCCCCCATTCCTGCCGTCGCTGCCCCCCTTCTCTCAGATTTATTTATGTATTTTTTCACGTTGTTTATGATCATTAACAAGACGTTAGCCTTCAACTGCTAGCTTTGGCTAATGGCTAATAATAACGTGCTACCATTAATCAAGTACATATCCAACTCCGCCCACATCCAAGTCACAAATAGGAAGATGCCAGGCAAGAAAATTGTAATGCCTCGTGGCAATATAGACAATAATTTAAAAATAGTGAAATTAATCTTTCGAACACTTAATTAAACTCTATCCATAATATTATGTTAAAATAGTGTAATGTTGAATAGGTTTGTAGAATAAGTCCAAACAAGTTTAAACAAAAAATATTTATTTCTCACAATTATGAAGGGTGGAGGGTTAGGGTTAGGGTCATTAATGCGGGCCACCAGTCAGAATAACATCAGTAACAGGTCAGTTTGAAATGAAAGACACTAACCTGTCAAAATTCATTTCAATTTTGGGGTCTTTGTTTTTATCCTTGTTGTATCAAAAATGGTATCGAGTATCGAGTATTTTCCTGAGTATCGGTATCGAGTTGAAAAATTTAGTATCGTGACAACCCTAGATACAACCAAATTAAAACAGAAAAATAGTAGCAACCGGTGCTTTAAAAAAAAAAAAAGAAAAGCAAGTTACAGTTAATATCCTACTGCAATAAAGACATTTTGTGGTCTTAACACTCCCTCCACAACAAAGACAAATATGTTCAAATCAGAAGACAGAAGAACTTCTAAAATGGTGTTTTTTTTAAGGGTTTTTAAGGGTTTCAGCTCCACGTTGCACCGAAAATGTCTGAATAGATCGTCATGACCCAAGCGAGTCTTTCCCCACTCGTGAAAAACATGCTGGAGTAAATACGCGTCAGACTGAAAGCCGTGCTGCAGGAATTTAGGACTCATAGCAGTTAAGGTGCGCGTTTGAAAGGTTTACCTGTAGAGGGAAGCAGCCGATCTCTTCAGGCCTTTGGGTCTGTTTGGCCGCGGTTCTCCCGCCATGTTAATGTCTGAGGGACAAAAAAAAGAAGAAAAAAAGAAGAGATATTGTAGCATTTAAAGGGATTCTGCATCACAGAAGCTCCAGGTTGTGCTATTAAATGATTTACACTAGAGGATGCTGTCGAGCCGTCCCAAAATCTCCTTTTCCCGCCTTAACTTTCAACCAGTTCCAAAAGCATCATGTCAACCCGCCAATAATTAATGACGAAGGGTCGGAAAGTATTCCCATATGGGTCTGACACAATCTGTTACTCCCAGGGACTGTCCGTCTGCTCGGTCCAGATCCCACCAGGCCGTCCTTAAATAAATCTTTCTGATAAACCACTTCATACGATTCGTGTGATTGAGATCAGAGATGGCTCTTATCACAGATTTACACCAAATGGAGCACGTAGAGAGATGAGGGACAGAGATATCCGACTTAGCAAACGGTAACATTTGAAGGGGAGGAAGCGAAAGTGCCCAAAAAACGTCACGTGGAGTTATCTCCGCAGAGTTTGGAGGGTTGACAGCCCAGTGAAAAGAGCTGCTACGGATCAATGCATTGGCTATTGCCTGAAAAAAAAAAAAGGATGGGTTCAGAGCTACTGTGTTCTCTTCTGTTTTACGCTGCTTTCCAAATAGAATGAATGAATGAATTAATCTTTATTGTCATTGTCACAAGAAACAACGAAATGTAAAAAAAAGTGCCATCAATCAGTGCCTATGCCCACAATTGACACACAATATAAGAAATAAATAACAAATAACTAATAAAAAAATAATAATAAAAAAAAAAAAAAAAAAAAAAATCATCCTCCAACAAGTGTTCCTCTTTTAAGAAGTTATAATCAATTTTCTAATCTTTGCCATGAATTTACCAGGACTGCTAACAGCCATGTGCTTCCTTAAGAGGAGTTTTCCTCTTTGAACTGCTGAGTGTTCAAGCTGTGCACTTTCCCTCTTCGGGTTATTTTAACTCTTGATGATAGGATTGGTCTATAACTATATGTAACAGAGTTTTTGCTCTGCTGGTGCCGTGCTAATTCTCCCATTTTTTTCTAAAAATAGGGGCATGCAAACACATACAATGTGGTGCCGTGAATGTATGCCGGACAAAAAAGTGTGCGATCACGCAAAAATAGCACGGGGACAGTATGGAAAAACAGCTCTTTTTTTTTAGCGCGCAGACAAAAGACACGGCCTTTCATGTAAGCAGATTGCAGTTTTGTTATCACGAAAGCCTACAGAGTACGCGGAGTCGCCTTATCTTTCATTCTGTATCGTATGGTGGGTGGTTAGTTGCGCTCCTATTCACGGAGATAAGACAAAACGCACCGGTGATTCACCATCCATCCATTGGCTGTCTGGTTTTATGGTCCCTGGGGGACTGGGGCCTACGCCAGCGTGCGCCGGATGAAAGGCAAAGAAACTCTGCGCGGTTCGTTAGTTTATCACACTTCCCAGCTCACCTGTAGTACTCGAATTTCTTAATATGTGGTGCAGGAAGCCAAGTATTTGTAAAAGAGGCATGCAGACATGAGGGCTTATATATATATACATATACAGTGGGGGAAATAAGTATTTGACGCTTTGCTGATTTTGCAGGTTTGCCCACTTACAAATAATGCTTATTTTTCCTCATCAGATGGTTATCAATTTTTATAAATTCATATGATGTGATTTTCTGGAATCTTCTTTGGGATTCTGTCTTTCACTGTTAGAATGTACATATGATTAAAGTTATAGATCGTTGCATTCTTTGTAAGTGGGCAAACCTGCAAAATCAGCAAGAGGTCAAATACTTATTTCCCCCACTGTATATACATACATATACACACACACACACCTTTCCTCCCTTCTTTAGAATATTTAAAGAAGAGATACATGCATGATACATGCATTTACAGTCATTTACATGCAATATTTCTGCCATTTCTTGAGAAAAAAAAATCTGATTTGTTTGTATCCTGCTTCTAAGTACACAGTTGCATTTAATCACGACCTTTTTAGAAATCGGGGGTTGACTGAGACTTTTAATTCGACTTTTAACTTGTTAATTGAGATTGAAAGTCATGTAAATCTCCCACCAACTGCCTGATGCCGTTTTTTCTGACATTATTTTCAAGTCTGTTGAACCATTTAACGCTTTTTCTTTGGTCTGATGTCTACGGTTTTGGTACCTTGGGGTCATTCTAGATATTGTACCACAGAAAGTATGGATGTGTGTGTTGGAGCTGGCTGTTGGATACTATACCAGAAGTCTGGTGCATCAAAACTGAAATCATATCCGAAATTAAGCAGATTCTAAAATAGATATCCTGTCTGGGAAAGGTTAAAAAAAAGAAACCAGTGTTGCTGAAGATGAAGAGACGGGTGGAACGGCAGACAAAGACAGACCAAAGTCAAACTTTTCAGACCACGGGCAGAGGATCAAAGCCTTTTAACTTCACCGTGAAGGAGATTAGACGCGTGCATGTGTGTGTGTCTGCCCCCTGTGTGTCTTTTCAGCATTGATCCAGAACTCTGGTTGTAGATAGGTATTGAAAAGGCAGGAGTGCATTAGTTTGCATTAGGACACTCTCACGTACACGTCTTTAATCATTGAACCGTACAGGTAAAGGTTTTTTTGTGTGGCCCAGAGGAAGAGGACAAAAAAAATCCAAACACACACACCATCTAGCTGCTGTTCGGAGTCACTTCTGCACACACGCAAACTCATTTTATTGACTCTCGTAGCTTTCTTGGGTCGAACGACAGTTAGGTCTATTAAAAAACGCTTCATTCTTCCTCTAACTGAGACATTCTAATTTGCTATAGATTTGACAAACGCCGAATGAATCGATGCTGCTGTCGTTATCTGGGAACAGAGGTTATCTTTGCCTTTTCACCTCGAGCAAAATCAGTGCAAATTTCTTTCTTTCCACATTTCATGTGGCAGTTTTAAAAAGCTCCACTTCATAAAATACTTCTTAGTTCTTTTGAAATCTCAGTGAATTATAAATTATAGCTGTTGTCTGCTTATAATGAGAATAATTCTTATAAATTCATTTATAGACCCAAAACCTCTTTCCTTCTCTGGCTCCAACTCGTCATTGTAACAAATAAGATTCCAAGATGTTTAAATTCCCGCATTTGGGAGAGAGGTTGACTTTTAGCCTGGGGAGACGCAGCACAATTTTGTATCTAAGAACCATAGCCTTGGATTTAGAGTGGTGGATTTTAATCCGAGCACCCGGCTGAAAACCAATCCAACGCATGCTGAAGGTCATAGATTAAAGCCGACAGAACTCCATATTCTACAAAAAATTCTCTACGCACCCTCGAGTTCAAGAGGCACGGAGCCCTCTCTCCAACACTCTGCCTCAAGACCCTACCTGACCAAATTATGTCCAACCTTCAGTTTCTGCTTCTTCGGCTACCAGAGCTGCAGGCCTGCTTAAAACCTGTGAGTTGTCAGCAGGTAGCCCTCAAAATAACCAGGTCTAAAGGATTCCTTCTTCAGGCTGAAGGCAGATATTCGCTGGTCCTCAGGTTCCTGATCCAATAGGCACCTACAACCTTCTGGCTTTAGCTTCTGAAGCTACGTGTTCAGCACATGCCGTGATTCAACCCGTTCAGATTTCAAATCCCCAACTTCTCCGAGTAGGTGAGAGAAGTACTCCTTGAAAAGCACTGAAGATCTAACCGTTAGAGGCTTGTGACCCACTTTTCCAGTTCATCTTTATCAAAGTCATACGGACATCCCACACAGTGTGGCTGCACGTCCAGCCACAATGCCCACTGACCTTCGACTCACAATTAACTCATTGGCTGCCAAAGACGTCTATAGACGTCAATTCAAATGCAACCGTTGACTGCCAAAGACGTCTATAGACGTCTTTTATGTTTTTCAACGCGAGTGGCTTGGGGGACGATCTGCTAAAGCTTGTCCGTAAATATCGGCTTCTAGACAGAGTATGTACTAACAAATTGACCCTCTAGGTGGCAGTGCCACTTTTGATGGGCGATGAGCATAGACTGTAGGCAAATAAGAAAAACGTAATGGTTCGCTATGCGAGAAATGGCGCCGGTGAGACGCAAGTCGAGGAAGAATGGAATAAGGTAGAAAATGATTTTGTTTTCCTGATGAAAGAAGAGAGTCTGCTCTTTCTTTTGGTGTGTTCGGTGTTTACATAGCCATAGCACAAACTATTCTGTGGCTCTTGAAAAATCAGTCAAAATGCTCAAAAAACTCTGGCAGTATGGGACTCTCTGTTCTGAAAATGGCTGGCAGTCAATGAGTTAAGAGCCGTGGTATGCTCAAAATGTAGTACCCAAGCGACAATCCATGAACAGTACAGACGTTCGAAGACAAAAAAAAACTGTTTGGGCTCAGCTGGGGGAAAACCAAGGTCCTCTGACTCTACCCTGAAACCAAAGCTCCTCCGGAGATGCGACCAGAGGATAACGTAGCCCAGAGCAGAGATCTCGGGATCTCGGTAGAACTGTTTTGACAATGCTTGTGCTTTTCATAGTCTTATTACATTTACAATTTAAGGACAATCCATGTTCCAGCTATAGGTTACAATGACATCTCAGGGAGGCACTTGATTGAAAAGCACACAGAGAAAAAGAGGTGAGAAGTGATGAAGACCCTTTTTTTGGTATATCACTGGTATGTGAAAGGAAAAAAAATGAATTTAGTAAAATTCCTGAAAGAGAACTCAGACAGAAGCATGCCCACAAAAACACAAAAGCAGAGCAGAAAGCAGCAGCTGGGAAAGATGTGAAGCCACAACCACTCAGACTGCTAACAGGGAAATGCCTTCTAACTTGCTAGCTTAAGGTGTCTTTCAACTTTCTGAATTTTATTCTCATTCTTATGAATTACTGAATCGTTACAGAAATCGAGGAGGAAAAGGCAGTTTAAAGGAGACATATTATACCCCATTTCAACAAGTTAAACTAATTCCCTGGTGTCCTAATGTAAAGTCTGTGACAAACTTTGGTCAAAATACCATAAGGATGAAACACAATAGCAGTTCAGTCCCCCTGCCAAAACAGCCCCGTTCAGAGCGCTCGCTTTGGAGTGCCTGTCTCTTTAAATGCAAATGAGACACAGGCAATCCACCTAATTCTTCTGTGAGGTGTGCCCACGTCGGCACGCTAACGCTACCATGCTAACGCTACCATGCTAACGCTCACGCTACCACGACGTCTGCCACAGATAGGCGGAGTAAGCTGAGGTGAGGGGCAACATGCAGGTGAAAGGCTGGAATATTATAATGAGCTAGAGCTAATGACGTCAGAAACTACCCACTCCTGAAACCTCCTGATTTATCTCCATAACTGAGTCTTTTTTTTTTGCTGATAGGCCCTCCACAGTCCCAAATGTACACAATCAAATGATTAAAAACTTGGTTTTGCACAATATGTCCCCTTTAAGTAAAAACTGAAACGGATTCCTATAAAATGAACCTCTAAGCGTGCCTCTAAGTGAGTGTTGAAATTGGCTTAAAATAAGATTAGAATTTTCCTTAAAAACCTTGTTGATCCAGAGGTTTGGGACCTTAAATCTGACTCACCCAGTGTTTGTCCGGCCAGCACCCGGCCGTTCTCCCCGATCACGGCCCCCCGGGCGTACCGCTCGCTGGCATACTGGACGAAGGCGTAGCCCTTGTGCACGGAGCAACCCAGCACGCGCCCGTACTTGGAGAAGATGCTCTCCACGTCCGACTTCTTCACCACCGCCGTGTTCAGGTTGCCGATGAACACCCGGGAGTTGATGGACTTGGGGTCGGTCTTGTTGGTCACGTTGCTCGTCTGGACCTTCAGGGACATGCTGGAGGGGTGGCCGGGGCGGGGCTGAACACAAAGCGACGGATCGAGAGGGTGGGAGGACGAGAAATGCGTATCTGGAATAAGAAAATAGACAAACTGGTGTTAGTCATAAATGACGGGAAATGGGAACCAGCTGCAATCAACCAGCCGACTAGCAAGCATCATGACGGCAACCGAATCAGCAAACCAGCTGGGGGAGGACTCATCTATATGTATATATATCACCCAGACCAATTGTACTTAGAGCTCTGGTGATTACAAATTCTTTCTGACATATTCATTCCGGGAGGGGGAATCAGTCAGATTGCAAATTATCTTGATTTGCACAAACTCGTTTGATCAATTCATCAACCAGTTTGTGCTCAACCCAAAGTCTAAAAGCACCACAAACGGGGCCTAGTCCTTCAGTCCGACCCAAATGTGCACTTCTCCTCACTTCTCCCTTCACGTCATCCAATCTTTCAAGAAGAAAACATTCAAATCCCCCACGTTTCTGCTGGTGTTTTCGCGCGACTCAACGTACGACTCCTAGAAAATACCTTAATTGAAAGGGAAATCCGAGCGCGCCGCCTCGTTTGAAATAACGCGTGAAGGGGGCTGATTAAAAAAAAAAGGGGAAAAGAAAAACATGTTTTCTCTGATCTGGCAGCCTGCTGCAGCCCAAACAACCGGCGCTTTATCTCCGACACAAACGCCAAATCAATCAAAGCGTAATTTGCGAACAAGCATCAGACGGTGATCTCCATCCTCGTCTCCACCTTTAAGCCCCCATCGCTAATGAGCAACAGCTGAGAAGATGGGATGAGGTAGAAAATTATGTTGGGGGGGGGAGGGGGGGGACTTCAGGCAAAGGACAGATATGAGTAAGAAGTAAGAAGTATGGGGAAGAAATGATGTCTGAGGGAAGGAACGGAAACTAAGGAGAAAGACAGGAGGTGAAGGAGGTTAAAGAGAAGAGATTACACAGAAGCGGGAGAAGATAGAACATATGGGAGGGCAGAGGGGGGGTGGTTAGTATGAAAAATGTGGAGGTCACTGAGAGATGAAGGACCAGGAAAAGTCAAAATGACGGAGGAGCGGCTACAGATGCAAAGAAAAATCAGCTTGAATATGAGAAATCCAAAAGAAAAGAAAATGCAAACAACACAAAGCTGCCATTTGTTTCTAGGGGGACTCTAGACTCTGAAACACCACCCGAGGAAGAGCTTTCCAATAGAAAATGGACCTCCCCCATCAACCTGGAAGAGGCCACTGGTAAAAGAAACCCCAAATTCGTCTTTGATTATTGGATATTTTTGTAGAACTGATGCATTGCGAAGACAAAAATAATGAACTTGAAGCATGTTAAATGTTTGCTTCAAAGAGATCATATTTATTTAAACTAGCTTAATCTGACATGATTAATGATGGAGAAAATTTGGTTAACTTTACATCATCTACTGTAATGTTGATCTGGTAGTTGTGTTAATGTATGTTGTGTTTAATGTCTTAAGCTGCTGGGACCTTAAATTTCCCCTTGGGGATCAATAAAGTATCTATCTATCTATCTATCTATCTATCTATCTATCTATCTATCTAT